ATGTTTATTTGCCATTTCTACTTCTTTGTGTGAGAAATGTCTGTTCATTTCAGATGCCCATTTTTGGATTGGCTCTTTAAATTTGGAAGGTCTGATTTTTTTAAGTTCTTTATAGATTCGAGATAGTAGACCTTTGTCTGAGAAACAGCAGGTGAAAATTTTTTCCCACATTGTGGGTTGTCTCTTCACTTTGTTGGTGGTTTCTCTTGCTGTGCAGAAGCTTTTCAATAGGAAGAGATCCCACTTGTTGATTGTTTGTGCTAGTTCATGGACAACTGAGGTTTTGTTCATAAAATCTTTTCCTATCCCAATGTCTTCAAGAGTTCTACCTAACCTCTGTTCCAACTGGTTCAGCATTTCTATTTTAATATTTAGATCTTTAATCCACTTCAATTTTAATTTAGTGCATGGTGAGAGATACAGATGTTTTATCTTTGGCAAGTTGAAACACAATTTTTCCAGCACCATTTATCACAGAGGCTATCTTTCCTCCAATGAGGGTGTTTGGCTCCTTTGTCGAAGATGAGGTGGCTGAGTGTGTGTGGAGTTGTTTCTGCACCTTCTAATCTGTTCCACTGGTCCTCAGGTCTGTTTCTTTGCCAGTATCATGCTGTTTTATCACAGTAGCTTTGTAGTATAATTTTAAGTTGGGGATTGTGATACCCCATGCCATGTCTCTGTTGCTTAGAATTACTTTCACTATTCTAGGTCTCTTCTTGTTCCAAATGAAGTTTTGGATTGTTTTCTCAAGGTCTGTGAAGTATGCTTCTGGGATTTCAATTGGGGTTGCATTGACTCTATATAGTAGTTTTGGAAGTATGGCCATTTTCACTATGTTGATTTTTCTTACCCAGGAGCAAGGGATGTCTTTCCATTTTTTGGTATCATCATCAATCTCTCTTTTCAGAGTGCTATAGTTTTCAGAGAAGAGCTCTTTGATTTCTTCTGTTAGGTTGATTTCTAGGTATTTCAGTTTTTTGGATGCTATTGTGACAGGAATTGTTTGCCCTATTTCTCTCTCGGTGAGTCTGTTGTTTGTGTAGAGGAAAGCTATTGATTTTTGTGTGTTGACCTTGTAACCAGCTACTTGACTGAATTTGGTTATCAAGTCTAGAAGACTTTTGGTGGAGTTCTTGGGGTCTTCTGTATAGAATATCATGTCATCTGCAAATAATGAAAATTTGACTTCTTCGTTTCCTATATTTATTCCTTTTATTTCTTTCTCTTGTCTAATTGACATGGCTAATGTTTCCAAAACTATATTGAACAGGAGTGGTGATAGTGATATCCTTTTCGTGTTCCTGATTTTAGTGTGAAGGATATTGGCTGCTTTTCATAGATGACTTTTATCAGATTGAGGTAGAGACCATCTATTCCAATTTTTTATAGGGTTTTTATCATAAATGCATGTTGGATTTTGTCGAATGCTTTTTCTGCATCTATTGAGATGATCATATGGTTTTTGTCCTTGGCTCT